CGGGTCTTCCCAAATGGGCTTCGGTCCTCCCAGTTCTACGGATTTACACGGCCCAGGGACTTATCTAGTGTTTGCACCGCCCGATGCCGGTTTGCATCTCTCCATGTAACCCCAAGGTTGCATGGATGCCCCAGACCTGCCAGTCTTGCTGGTGCGACCATAGTTACAGGTATCCTATCCCAACTGAAGTTCTATAAAGTTAAAAGTACTCAGGTTGGATATTAGAATACTGTTATTATCTAGCTTTTCTATGTAGATTTTGGTTTTTATAAAAAAAACAAATGTCTAAATATATATGAATTACAAATAGTTATATATATTAGCTTTTAATAATAAACTAGCAAATATAATTTAAACACTAAGTCTAAATATAACTATAAAATCTCTTCACTTTAGTCACATGATCAAATTGTTAAATCATTTAACAATTAGGTTTGGGTGTTATCTTATATATAAAAACACAATTCTATATCTTATTTAATAAATGTGAGTTGTGAACTGTCAATTTCAAATAAGAAACTAAAGATATTTATACATTTTCATTGGTATGTTAAAGGCTATTATAATATTAGTAACACTATATCTATTCTAAGATATAATATAACTATTACTAAATATCATATCAAACTCTTTATGTATTAGCAAAGATTTACTTTTATTATATACTTTAAAACAATAATTTTATTTTATTTATCTACATCACCATTCTTACTAGAATCACCTTACAATATTTAATCTATAGTAATTAAGCAATACTATACATGCTTATCTTAATCTATGTCTATTTGCTTGGTGATTAATTTCTATAAATTAACATAAAAGATATAAATATTAAAATCATTACAGTCAGACCTCTCTAAATGCATAGCCTCAGACAGCTAATAAATATTGCATTTAGAGAGGTAAAAATCTATAAGTGTTATATGAGTTGGGGCCAAACAAGGCCATGCATTTAGAGAGACTATGATTTAGAAAATATGCATTTAGGGAGGTCTGACTGCATTATTAAAATAATTTTAAAATATTATAAAGTTCTTTAAAATCAAGACTTACTTAGAACGTTTGCTATCTTTTTTTGTCGACTGATTTGATATATACTTAATCGAATAAATGCTTTAAAAATTAGTAAAATTCATGAATAAAAATAATTAAAATTGCTTTCTTTTTTTAGTAAGGAACTGTTATATTTTTAAAAAGTACTTTAAAGCGTGTAAATAAATTAGCTAGACAATTAATTAAGCAAACTAGTCAAATCATCTAACAATAAGTTACTAGTAAAAAGTAAGCCTATTTTAGAACTAGGATCATTAAAGCAAAGATCTTGTTGAATATAAAGTGAATTTTTTCATACCTAATATTGAACCTATTTACGATCTTAGCTACAAACTACATATTTTTTTACATTAAGAACCCTTCGGCATTTTTTTTAGTAAAAGTTATGCCTATTTTGGATCTTGAAAAGCCATTTTAGGATCTTTGAAGCTAAGGTCTTGCTGAATGTTAACACAATAAGTTTCATTTAACAATATTGAAACTATTCCATGTTCTTTACGAACTTTGTCGCGTATTGTATAAAGTCTTACGCGTCAAAACCTTCGGCATTGCTGTTAATAAAAGTCTCGCCTATTTTAGGATTTTGAAAACCCATTTTAGGATCTTTAAAATTAAGGTCATGTCGAATGTAAATATAAAATTTCAAACTATAGTATATTTAGAAAAAAAGGTAAAAGTTATTTTTACGAAACCCTATATTTTACAATAAATCAACCTATCAACGTTAGTTTTGCAATAATCACATTTTTTGTGATCGGAGTCAAATCCGCCTATATGTAGAAATTTTTATAAATAAGCTCGTATTATGGTGAAATTGGCCCAGGAACAATTTTCACTTAATAGGCAGCCGCGATTTCATTAGTAAAATTATGAGTAATTCCTGCCTAATTTTTTGATCGTGGCTCTTAGCTAATCGAAATCGAGAAATCTGCCATACCATTTTGTTGCGGCAGCTAGGGTTAATGGTTAATATTACGATTGTGACAACGGTGTTAACTCCGAAATCGGCGAGTCTGTCGCTTGATGGAAGTTAGCTTCATGTAACTGAAAAGTAGATTATGTTGCGCCGAAGGAGGCGTGTTAGATTTGGCGAGTGGTTAATGAATGAATGTATATAGGTAGTAGGGTACGTTTATATGGCTTAGGTATTTAGTATTTAGGTAAAGTGAGAATTATCTATGATAATAACGACTTAGTAGCTGCTCAGGTTTTTATATGTTGATTAGGGATAGATTTACATGTACTATTACTAGTTTATGTTTTAATAAATCAAAGGTTGGAACTTGTTCTTTTTCCAAGGGCCAAAGGCCTTTATTTATAATAATAATTCTATCTACAAAAGCTGTCTATAACTCCAAAAATGCCCTTATTGACAGAAACGGCCTTATTGTCAAAATCCCCAATAATCCCCAAATCGCCGTTTCTGCCAGAAATGGCCTTTCTGTGATTTCTGGCCGGTAAACCTCATTTTGGAAATATCCGAGGTCACGGGGCACGTGCCTGCGTCAGGTCACGTTTCCGGTTTCACAACGGATTTGCAAATTAATACGTACCCTGTGTACAAAAACATCGTATAATCTAAGAAATTATTTTGTCATTTGATCAAAATATTTTCAAAATTGAAAAATGTTATTTTTTATAAACAAAAATTAGCATATTAGTACTACCATTGTTGAATCTTATGTTTATCTTGAATCTTTGAAAACTAAGCATTCCATTTTTACAAAGATCTCAAAAATAACCTTTGTCAAAAATATGCAATTTCTCATGACCCCGAATGTCATTGCCCCACTTCAAGTAAAGGGTGTTGTGGTCACAGAAAAGGGTGTTACTAAAGAATTTGATCTAAGTTTTTCAGAGATTGATATAAAAATGCCATTAGATAGTTTGCGGGAGTATTTAACACAAAAAAATTTAGTATTAGTTGGTAAACAAAACTCTAATTTCCGAAATAAGTTTGAATATAAGGTACCATTCATTAGTGAAAGCGATTGGAGATTAGAAGATATCTTAGTTCCAACAGATGGCACAAGTGAATCTGATAGGTCTTTTACGTTCTTCATCGATAAAGACTTGGCAAAACCTGGCTTTCCTGAAATTATTAGAGACCTTAATATAGCTGGAGGATGTAGAAAAAATAAAAATGGTACTATTATTTCAGCAAATAGAAGCGCATTCCGTATTAAAAATCCACATTTAATGGAGGTTATAATCCATCAAAATATTGAAGAAATTGAAGAAAATAACAAAGAAGGGTTTCTTGTTTATTGTGAAAAAGGTACAATTAGGCTATTACCTGAAGATTTGGAAGCGACTAAAGAATATGTTGAAGCCATTGAAACTGCCTTGAGTAAATCAAATATAAAAAAAGCTCTAAATAAAGTGGGCAGAGATTACGGATTTTTCTGGTTAGTATAAACTCTCATATATAAAATTAATTTATTCTCTTAATCTAATTTAATAATTTCAATAACGGACAGGCCAAAGAAAATTAAGCTTGGGGGCATATTTCAAATAAATGATGAGCAAACCGATATCATCGAACAGCTAGAAAAATTAGACCATTTTAATAATTGGAAAATTATTGAACGAAATGACTTAACATCATTATGTAAATTATTACCAAAGAAGCTTATATCAAGGATACAAGAGGTTCGCGGAATGAAAATATTAAATCACAGTAAATTACCCGTTCATATGCCAAAAGGCCACAATATTGCATTTCATCATATTCCAAAACCTTTAGACATTCCAACATTTAATAATGTTAAGATTTTTGCCTCTGTGATTGTATCGAACAAAGCAATACCACATCGCAACGCGTTTGTAGTTAGAGTTGAATACTTGGATGATGAAAACCCATACATCGTAATAAATCGTATTGGACGGGCAAAAAAACCTTTTGATCTTTTCATTCCTTATATGCTAATCGGTTATGCAGAAGAACTATCAATTGAAAAATTTTCAGATAACGCAATTGCCCATGTTTTTACTAAACAATTTGTATCTAATGGCAGTAATCCAATTGCCCTATTTTAAAATGCGCGGATAATCCGAGTTACGAATTTGGTAGGTCTAATTATGCAATTAGTTTTCATTTGCGTCGTAATGAAAAAAATTACACTACACAATTATTTTGCAATGTTTATGATTTACAAATTGACCAATTCACTAATAATAATGCATTAGTGTTAGAAGTTAATTGTGTTGTCTTTACAAATAAAATTCCTTATTTTGACGTAGTTAGATCGGCAGAATATAGCTACTTAGTTGGTGATGTTTTAATAAAGGGATCAATAAATTATGAAATTCATGACCTTAAAAAAGATCATGAAGAAAAAAAACTTTCAAATTTACCGAGCATCTTAGAAAAGGTGCTCAAATTAAATCACAGCTTAGTTTGTTATCAAATACCAGCAGAGATGGGAAGCGCTAGTGGAGCATATATTGTTGGATATTGTTATTATTATGGAATTGGAGTCGAAAAGGATGAACATAAAGCTTTTGCTTATTATCAAGAATCAGCAGAGATGGGGAACGCTAATGGAGCATGTAGCGTTGGATGTTGTTATCAATTTGGAATTGGAATTGAAAAGGATAAACATAAGGCATTCATTTATTATCAAAAATCAGCGGAAATGGGGGACGCTAGCGGAATATATATGGTTGGATACTGTTATCGTTATAGAATTGGCGTTAAAAAGGATAAAAATAAGGCTTTCATTTACTGTATTATAAAAAATCTGCAGAAATGGGAGACGCTAGTGGAACATATAAAGCCGGGTATTGCTATTATCATGGAATTGGAGTTGAAAAGGATGAAAATAAAGCTTTCATTTATTATCAAAGATTTGCAGAGATGGTGGATACGAATAGAACATATAATGTTGGATATTGCTATTTTCATGGAATTGGAGTTGAAGAGGATGAAAATAAAGCCTTCATTTATTATCAAAAGCCTGCCAAGATGAAGAACACTAGTGGAACATATGATGTTGGATATTGTTATCGTCATGGAATTGGAGTTGAAGAGGATGAACTCTCATTTATTATCAAAAATCTGCAGAAATGGGGCGTGCTAGTGGAGAAATCAGTGTTGGACGTCGTTATCATAATCGAACTGGAGTTAAAAAGGATGAGCATAAGGCTTTCATTTATTATAAAGAATCAGCAGAGGTGGGGGACGTTAGTGGGACATATATGGTTGGATATTGTTATCGTTATGGAATTGGAGTCGAAAAGGATGAACATAAGGCTTTCATTCATTATCAAAAATCTGCAGAAATGAGGGACGTTAGTGGAACATATAATGTCGGATATTGTTATCGTCATGGGATTGGAGTTAAAGAGGATGAACATAAGGCTTTCATTTATTATCAAAAATCTGCAGAGATGGGAGACGCCAGTGGAACATATAATGTTGGATACTGCTACCTTAATGGAATTGGAGTTGAAAAGAATGAATATAAAGCATTCATTTATTATCAAAAATCTGCAGATATGGGGCATGTTAATGGAACATATAATGTTGGATATTGTTATCATCATGGGATTGGAGTTAAAGAGGATGGATATAAAGCATTCATTTATTATCAAAAATCTGCAGATATGGGGCATGTTAGTGGAATATATAATGTTGGATATTGTTATCATCATGGAATTGGAGTTAAAAAGGATGAGCATAAGGCTTTCATTTATTATCAAAAATCAGCAGAGATGGGGGACGTTAGTGGAATATATAATGTTGGATATTGATATTATCATGGGATTGGAATTGAAGAAGATGAATACAAGGCTTTTATTTATTATCAAAAATCTGCTGAGATGGGAAGCGCTGATGGAACATATAATGTTGGATATTGTTATCATCAAAGAATTGGAATTGAAGGGGATGAACATAAGGCTTTCATTTATTATAAACTATCTGCAGAAATGGGGCATGCTAGTGGTGCAATCAGTGTTGGACGTTGTTATCATAATGGAACTGGAGTCGAAAAGGACGAAAATAAGGCTTTCATTTATTATCAGAAATCTGCAGAGATAGGAAACGCTAGTGGAACATATTATGTTGGATATTGTTATCATCATGGTATTGGAGTCGAAAAGGATGAATATAAGGCTTTCATTCATTATCAAAAATCTGCAGAAATGAGGGACGTTAGTGGAACATATAATGTCGGATATTGTTAT